TGTATTTCATGCTTCTACGGCTTTCGTTTTGAAAGCAAATCAGGTCACTAACTCACCAGAGTTTACGTTTTATTTGTCGTGTCGTTTTAAGTCTTATTTGTCTATGCTTTATTTCACTTTGAGCAGCTATTTTTTTAACTTTTGTCACAGTACGAGATTTATCGTTCCATGCTGTTTATGATAGTAATGATGGAGACATCCTAGGGCGAAAAGCTCGATATGTTCGGAGGCAGATCTGCGAAGAAACAGCAATCCGTCCATCCAATGGTCGAAACAGCTTATCGTGTGGCCATGGATAGTGGTGAAATGGATGCTATGGTAAGCTTATACTTCCTTTCGATACTGGTTAATGGGTCCTTCTAGGTGATAGAGCAAGGCTGGCTTGAACTTGATAACGCACTTGCAGTCCTCAAGCACTGCGAAGATCCGGATCTCCAGGCAACCTTACGAGAGCAGTTCCAAGAGTAAGAGCTTAATAAACTTTTGATCTTCTTTTTTTTGTTCTTGACACTGTATAGTATTGGATTTTCCTCAATATTTTCTAGAGTTGATAGCGTTGACAAGAGATGGCAATTGCTGAAGCGACGATTTGACGATAAGTATCGAAGAGAGATGACGCAAGCTAAACAAGTTGTCCCCGAGGTACGCTCCTTTTCATCATTATTGTAAATCTTTTTGTCAAGTATCATGAGCAAAAACAGCGTTATTTTCTGCAGAGCGTTAGCGGACCCAGTAAAAACTTCCTACGATGGTTTGTTCTGTGGCATGCTTACCCTCGACTGGATGTGAATGTTTCGACAGGTAAGTTTTTTTCAAATATCGGTAACATTGATAATAAGTTTCGTACAGGCTTGAACCATTTGTTGAAATCACCTTTCTGCATTCATCCAAAGACTGGTAACGTTGCCGTTCCCTTGGATGTGAGCAAAATTGGCAACTTTGACGTGAAGTCTTGTCCTCGTGTTGAGTGAGTTTTGCAGTTTGAGTTTCTTTCTTGGTTCATAAAACTTCTTGGTTGTCTCCAAAATCTGCATCTTCGTGTTTTTTCTCGAATTTTGAATTTCGACTTGAATTTTCGTACTAAAGCTCCTCGAAATTACATGTTTCACAAATTCGTTTTACAAAGTCCGAAACCTATATACCGTGTGTACCCCAGAAAAGTTCCATGTGAACAGCGTCGCTGCCTTTCGCTCTTTTCGACACGTTTCTCTTGAGATTTCA